ATATAGAGGTTATAGATTATAGACATAGATACAGATATAGATGTGAGCATAGGTGTATTAGTATAATATTTTAAATTAGATCTATTTTTTCCTTTGATCTAAACCCTTAAGAATTATAACCCAAAATACAATTTGATATATCCTTTTAATATTTTCTGTAATCTCAATAGTACAATATCTTCCACCACATGCTTTATACTCATTCCCAGTTACACCAGAAGAAGTGCAGAGGGGGCTAGATTCTCTACAAAACGGTAACACTGATGCTGACACACCATGAACAACAGCCTTGGCTTTAGTTTATTCCACAGCTGAATATTGTGCCAGTGTGTGGCTTAATAGTGCCCACATACAAATGGTCGATGTCCAACTCCGCCAGACAATGTGTATCATCTCTGGCACACTGGATCCCACTCTTGTGCTCTGGTTACCAATACTTAGCAATACCATACCGCCCCACATCAGAAGACAACACGCTCTCATTCAGTTGTGGACAAGGATGCTGAACAAGGCCCACCCTGTTCACAATGCACAACTCATCACAAGATTGAAATCCTGTAGGCCAGCTTGGAAAACAGCTATTCATTTAACATCTTCTCAGTTTAACCCTGAGAATGCCTGGAGAGAGATGGTCCAAGGTACTTTCTGATGGCCTGACCATTAATGATCCCTCTATCAAACCACTTGATTTTGACTTGCCTCACTCTATCTGGACAAAATTGAACAGAATTAGGTGTGATACTGGAAGAAGTGCCTCTGCCTTGTATCAGTGGGGATGGAAAGATTCCCCTTGTTGCAATTTTGGTGCTGATATGCAAACGATTAACATATTATTCAAGATTGCCTAGGACAAGTGTTCTCTGGTTCCCTAGGCCTAGAAGATCTGTATGAAGCAATGCCTGGATAGCTGAATTGGACATCCAGTTATGAGACCACTGCCTCATTGCAAACTATAATTTTTTAAAAATAAATATGTTATTGGTTTTTTGCTATTGTTGTTTAGATTTTCTGTAGCCAATTTTAACTTTTGAATGGGGAGGGGGGAAATAAGAGGAACCTTCTACTAAAGCAGGGCAGTCTTGCTGTTTCCAGTACTAAAAGAACCGAGGTGGCGCAGCAGTTAGAGTGCAGTACTGCAGGCCACTTTAGCTGACTGTGTTCAGCAGGTCAGCGGTTCAAATCTCACCGGCTCAGGGTTTACTCAGCCTTCCATCCTTCCGGGGTAGGTAAAATGAGGACCTAGATTGTTGGGGGCAATGTAAATATATATATATATATATATATATATATATATATATATATATATATATATATATATATACATACACATTGCTTACTGGTGTACACCGCTTAGAGAGTGTATACTTAAAGCGGTATATAAGTCTTATAAATAAATAAATAAATAATTCTCAGCAGAACTATTCGTTCCTGAAGCCACTTCTGTTGTGTGTGTAGTCATTCTCATCTTGTGTTGTGGTAACCCACAACAGAGAATTAAGAAACAGTATAGCATAAAGGGGCAAGATTAATGCAGCTTCTTTTTGTACTAGGGAGATGATGTAGTCACAAATGGTGATTTTAGAAAAGTTTTTGTGCTTGTCTAAAATCTCATGATTTTTAAATGGAGTGTAAAATATACTTGGATCTGAAGTGAATACCATTAGTATTTAAAAAACTACCTTTCTATTAAAAAGTCCTGTTTGAAAATAATCCATTAACATACCAATTTATGTACATGTCTTTGAACAATAAAAAATATTGCGTATAGATTATTCCGTTTTAACTTCTCTTCACAAGTAGTTAAGCTAGACATAATACTGGAACATTAAAAGCAGTGATACAAAAGTACAAGGCAGTGAGGGTAACAATCGGTGTGCCTGACAATCACTTTCAAGCTATTTTTCTGACACACTTGCTGTACTAATTATGCTTCATGTCAACCATAGCTTACTGAATAAGACAAAATCAATCTTTTTTCAGACAGCCTGAGCAATCCTGAATCTTATGGCCAATTACTCTTCCTCCTTCCCCCTTTTTTTAACTTTTAGCTTTTGCAGGAGCTCTGTGTATTTGTTAACTGTTTGGATGGGTAAAAAGTAAATTGGAAGGAAATAGGGTGCAATAAAAGTATGTTGTGATTCCTCTCACAAAATAGTTCTCTTCGGGGTCTTTCCTATTCATAAAAGGGCAGCCATGATGAATGTGGCTGGTAACAAGACAAACTTTTAGAAAAAGACATAACGGTATTTCTCCACCATTCTTTTCACCTCAGTCAGTATGCTATGTGCAATCCTAATTTTAAAAGTATCTATGGGATGCATACCATTGTTATATTTTAAAAGTATCTATGGGATGCAAACCATTATTGTAAATAAATATTATGTCAGAGTCTAAGGTTTTGCATCCCAGCACATTAGGTCTCTTATTTTATAGTTTATTTTGAGGTGATAAAGTAGAGGTTGAAACCATGGCTTATAATGCATTCAAATAAAAAAAAAATAAAGCAACTTTAAAAAAAAATCACTTAGACCAGGAGGACTTCTGATGCCAAAAGAGAGATCCCATGTGGGCCTATTTGAACTTGTAATAAACCATGGTTTCAACCTCTATTTTATCACCTCAAAATAAACTATACTTTATTTACTGATTCCATATCACTGTAGCCTAGAAAAAGAAACCCAGACCAATCACACTATAAATTAGAACGTTTAAACATAGCCATTTAAAATATATTTATTCTTAAATATTTTAGGCAATCCTTCAGAAATCAGTAGGAACTATAGTGTAGATTGAGTTCAAATCTCTCAAATGTGGTTTAAATTAACTTAAAATGTTTAACATTAATTACTTGGTTCAAACAAAGCTTTCCGTGTTATAAATCATATCTGATGAGCAAACAAACCTGCAGACTAAGTGGCTCAGTAACAAAACCAGGTCAGCCATTTTCTACTGATTTTAAATTGTTTTTTTTTTTTTTAATTTAAAAGAAGTTACCAGTTAGGCTGTATATAATTATATTGAATGAAAACCATTTACAAGTCAGTGAATGGCAGCCGCACTCTCCACAGGGATATTTTCTGTTTTCTCATTTCTAGGGAATTCTTGCTTGCTGAAGCTCATGTGTGCATAAGAACAGTGAAAATAATGTTTTTTTCCCTTCTGAATTACTGTTTTGTTCATCTAAATCCATCCAGGTTTATAGCTTTCAGGATTAATTAACTAAGATTGCTTTTATCTGGGGCAGCTCTAATTAAATACATTGGGCTTCAATTAAACAAAGTCATCATTTCTCAGGGTATCATGTGAAACTTCTAATCATGCCACACACTCCCACTTTATTATTTATTTTATTTTATTTTATTTCATTTCATTTCACTAGGCGCATGTACCACCTCAGTTGTTGACTGAGTATCTTGCAACAGTACAAGATTAATCCTTAAATTGAATGAAATGCAGATTGAAATAAAAGGTAATCCACCAGGTACCAAACCCTGTTGGCTTATTCTGACCCCAGAAAAAAGTGGGGAAGACAATTTTTTACTCTTCCTTTTAGGAACCAATGTGGCCTCAGTAAGACTGAAAATATCTATGCCAGCATCATGGGTTGAGTGGTGATAGATCTATGAGAGCTAGAAGGAGGTAATTGAGTCCACATCAACACTTCACCTTTCGTAACATATCCTTCCAGAAATAGCATGTGCCGGAATCCTTCACCCATTTAATTCATTAATTTATTCAACATTTATCTCGCCTTTCTGTTCAAATCTTGACATATTGACATTTCCTGTGCAGCTGTATTGGGGGAGCTCTGTATTGGAACACTCCGATCTATAGATGGACAATCATTCACAACCCTTTGTGATTTCATGAACTGTATACCGATGTATTACATATAATTAACCACATGATTTGCAATATGATGTGTTGGAATAAATTTGTGAATTTTTGACTTTAGATCCTTAGCTAATGGAAACTATAGTTGTTCCTCTTCAGGTGATTTTTTAAAATCTAAAAATGCAAGCTTCTAATGTAGAAGATGGTGAATAAGCTTGCAGCTGTTTGTTTGTTCTTAATCATCTGAATGAAGTTTTTCTTTAACTTTCCCTCCTGGAGGAAAATTGGAGGAGTGAATCCTTAGTTGCCCAACTCCAAACCCTCAGGCAATATTTATAAATATGACACCTTATGGCACTAGGAATGCTCTTATTTCAATCACATGCAAGGAAAATAGCAGGATTGTTTTACTGTGCATATTTGAGAAGGGAAAGAATATTTGCAAAGGATATGTGTTTTCCCTGTTCTTTGACATCATAGGAGAACATATATTTCTGGGGAAATAAAAAATGATAGCACCTTATTTAGTACTATTTGGAACCAAGAGAGTTCCATAAGTAGTATGGAACAGAATAGTATAAAACAGTATTTCTCAATCCCAGCAGCTTTATAATGAATTTACTTCAACTCCCAGAATTCCTCAGCTAGCCTTGGTGACTGGAGAATTCTGGGCGTTGACATCCATACATTTAATGTTGCTGAGATTGAAAAACATTGACCTAAACCCAAAAACAAATTTGCTTGATGACTGACCAAGGAAATGTGCTCTCCAGGGTAAACCTGGAGCATAATCTGGCCCTGTCTGTTTCCCTTCATATTGACTGCAACTCTCATCATTTCTCAGCATTAGCTAGCACTAATAGGAATTGAAATTTGGCAACATTATCCAAGTCTTGATTTGGCTAGACAAACTTCTTGAAATATGAAAAGAACAAGAATTAAACAAATTTGTCTTCTTAAGTGCACTGTAACTAATTTCAACCTGGATTAGAAAGACCACAGTGTTTCATTTCATAGGTTGAGAACCTAACAAAGGTATTATTGAAGGGAGGTTGAGCATCTGTAGAACCAGATATATCATGGCATGAGATTCACTCAAAACATTGATAGACTACACTGCTACTGTACAAAGCTCATGAATGGAGGTAATCTCCTTTTTTCTGTAGATGGAGTTGGGAAAAGGTTGGAGGTTAACCACACCACAGCCATTTCAGATGTTCAAGGTAAGATGGAAGAAATTCACCTTGCTTGGGGATAGTTCCCTTATCAAAGGTAAAAACCAGAAAAATGCTTGCCTGTCCAAGCTGAAAATGAATTGCATACATAAGGTTAAAGAGGCTAAAGTGGATCATATGTTATTGCATAATTTCTGTGCTGTGAATTGCACTAAGCTCTTTCATCTTCATATATGGCTGTAATGTCTTTTCCATGGATACTGAAAGCTAGCAGTAGTTCTCTTGCAAAGGACATATGCATAATTTCATGTTCCATTTTCAAGCATTTCTGCTCTGATTTTTTTTCAATCTACTTGAAATCATAATTGCTTAGGATTTTTTTTTAATAGATTTTATGGTGTGTATAAAATGTTGCATGCACAATGTTTCACTAGGGACCGATTGCCATCACAGATTTATTTGATAATGTGGGCTGTATTCTGCACTCACAAACATTATTTCCATTTACATTGGATATCAATAAATCCAAAATCAGTATCCATAATTTTGATATCATTTGCTTAGTTTGAGCATTTGTTTCTCTTCCAAGCTTCTAATTTGAAATGGAGGACTGGAGGGAGGATGTATGTTGTTTTGCTAATAGAGGAGTATGCATTGCTCAAACAGTTCAATTTTGCATGAAAACATGATTCTTCACTCAAAACATAATGGATAGATAGCGAAGGGCTTAGTGAAATTAAATGGAGAACAGATTGGGGTGAAATGACAATTGTGTAAGGGGGGCATAAAAAAGGAGAAGAGTTACATTTTATGAGTCTCAACCATTCCCACATTTATGTTTTTTTTCAAACCTAGATAATAAATTGTCACGCTTTACAGACTGAAACCAAATGTTTAAGAAAAATACAAAATTAATGATAAAACTGAATTATGCAACAGATTCTGGATTTCATAGTGAACTAAGTATAAGCAAACAATGCAGATGTTGCTTTTGCTATATGGCATTCATTATTTCAGTTATCTTTTGTTAACAACCTTTCCAGGATTCAGTTGCATAAGTTTAAATTGTTGATGATGGTAATGCTAGTTATGTTACTGTGAAGTATAGGGACAAGATAAGGCTTTTAAAAATTTGTTACTGAATGCCATTGAGGACTTCAATGCTACAATCCCTGCTGTACTGCATGAATAATGAAGACTGTTATTATTCATGGATTCCCTGTGCCATGAAGACTCCATAAAACATGGGACAATATCATGGACACCAATGTGCCATCCTTTTATACAAACAGCATCATTTTATTTTGGATATAGCTTGTTCCCTTGGGACAGAAATCCTGTATTAAGGAATTTGGCATCAAGGAAAAGGAGACATCACTCTTTATTAAACCAGCACTGACAAGAGATTTAACTCTGCTGAAGGCTTCCACTACTTCAGGAGCCTGGTGCATGATAAAAAAAAAAAATGAGTGTTGTGAAAAATGCACTGAAGATACTTTATATTATGTTTACTAGTAAAGTGCAATTCCAATGAATTTGGGATGCCTTCCAGCTTCACCCATTTTTGTGGAAATGTAATTCCTGCATTTTCTGATTTAAGAAAATTGCATATGTGTAAGAAATGATATGGTATGAAAAAGCATAATACTCACCTAGTATTACTTAAAATTAATTACTTTTGTGGTTGACTTCAGCATCAAGGTGACAAAGAATGCAGCCACATTCAAAGAAAAAGAAATGGGGCAACTTCAAGTAATGATATAAGCGATCTTTATACGTATAGGTTTATACCAGACTTATTGATCTAGAGATGACATGTCAAAATTATTGGCCAGCACTGTTTTGTGGACGCAAAAACCAAACCATGATTTACCAATAGAAATTAACACAGTAATCACACAGATTAACCAGCATGTCAGACTTTTTCCTCTGCATGCAAGTATTAAATTTGAAATCCTTGGCCTGCTTTTATTTTAGCACAGAATTATCATGCCCTGGCAACTCCCGTTTTCCCTCTTGATCACACAACATTGACTTCAGCCCATGAGTATTGTTTTAAATTGTCATTTGCTCTATCACAATATCAGTAGTCTTCAGTCAAGACTATTCTACTAAAATTGCAACGTATGCTAAATCTATAACATTTTACCAACCATAAGGAGCCGTGGTGGCAAGTGGTTAGAATGCAGTATTACAGATTAATTCAGCTCACTGCCAGGAATTCAATCCTCACCAGCTAAAGGATGGCTGAGCCTTCCATCCTTCAGAAGTTGGTAAACTGAGGCCCCGACTCTTGGGGGCAATATGCTGACTCTTAGAGAGGTCTATAAAGCACTATGAAGCTGCATGTAAGTCTAAGTGCTATTGCTATTATTTTGCAAATGAGTTCAACTGACCTGTTATGACTAAAAACAGTGGTATGTTTGGGGAATACTGAATGGGGTGGAAATACCCCCACTCCTTTGGCAAATTAGCCAACCTACATTGCCACCATTTCTCCCCCAGCAGTTTATTAGCACTATGTTTGCAGAATTTCTTCTCTAACTCTTACTTCCCATCCTCCTTTTTTTTTAAACAAATTTTATTGGTTTTTTGGTTCTTAGAACAAAGTGCTTAAGACACACTGTGGTGCTGGGGTAATCAAACATCCAGAAATAAAACCATATATGAATAATTCAAATCAATATATTAAATATTCCCTCTCTATTTCCCTCAATTAACCTAATGCATTTAAGATAATCCATTTCTAATTTAAATTTCTAAAAATCCTAAACCTGTTTTAGAGCTTTGTGAATTTACAATTAGCATAATCAAATTTGAGTTTAAAGAAACAAATTATCAATTCAGGTATCCCTTCCAGATATATTCTAGATCTCAATCTCTTAAATCCTTAATTTTATCACAAATCTCATTTATTTCTTCTTTCACTACACAATATATCTCCAATTAAAGTAAAATATACATATATAATCCATCCATCAATCAGTCTCTTTAAGATAACAAAATAACAAAATAATATCAAACCTTAAATCATTTCAGCCCATTGGACCAAATTCAAATTTCATCCAGTTAACTATCATACCTAATAACGTCCATATTATCAGACAAGAACATCATCTTACTAATTTAACATACTCAGTTATTAAATCAATCCAGATCTAAAACGCCTCTTCAGTTTTCTTCATTCCATTACATAATAGTTTTCATACAAATAAACCTATTATTCCAAAGAATACATTCTTAATCTATTTAAAATATATATTCTAATAATCACCCATTTTTCTCTTACTTCTAACTCTAAATCTTAATCCTTAAATCAATCCGTAATTCTACAGTGCCTTTGATCCATCACATATAATTTTGAATTTAACTTTTCAGTCTTATTCTGGCCTTTTTTTTGTGCCAGACAGGTTTCCATAACAAAGCTTCCCTTTCAGCCAATAAGTCTCTCTTTGTTGCTTGTAGTATCATTTGAGACAGTAAAAAGCATCCTGTCCTCTGCATTGGGCGTCTGTTTCTCTTATCCTTAAAGCTTTGTTGCTTTAAAGGCTCAAATCTCAGTCTTTGATTTTTCTGATCCTCAAAGGTATAGATGAAATGCTTGTAGGGTAAAATAAATTCCTCTTTAGTCTCAATTAGATCCTCTTCTAGTATGTTTTGGTTTATAGAATGGTCAGATGCTGTCTGAAAGTCAGTTTGAAGGTTTGGAATATGGCTTCTGACTCTTAATTCTGTGGAAATCTCTGTTATTGTAGCACATATTTCTTCAGTAGCCTCTTAGATCTTTTCCAATATAAGTTTATAGTTCAATTGTGAATAAGGTTTCTCATTTTTAATAATAATTGAAGAGAGTCCCTTTTTTTCTTTTAGTGGAGGCTGTATTTAATAAAAGTAAAGCAGTATCCACCCTCACCGTTCCCACAGCTGCATCCGCTTATCTTTTCTCTTTAAAAGTAATTTGAAGGCCAAGTCCATCTCATCTCCAAATAGTAACCAGCAGTTGCAATATTAACTTTTGCCACTAGATGTCCTCAGTAGGTTAAAAAATCTTTTCCAGACACCATTTTTCCCCTTTTTCTATCTTTTAGAGAAAAAGGTGGAAAAAGAAACAATCTTCCAGTATAATATGATATTAGAGCTCTTTAAAAAAAGTTTTTTTCTGTACCCCAAAGTAGATAAGAATAAAGTGTAGTCTTTAAAAAATTTTATTTTAACCTTTTTGTTCAGCACCTTTCTTCCCACACATACCAAAGTTGCTTTTTCAAGATGGGGAAATGATTCCAACAGAGATTTTACGGGCAAAAGAAAGAACAAAGTAGGGTGAAGAGAGGAGGAGAAGGGGTCTCACCCAGATCATCTGCGGTGGGTCTATTCATGCTTAGATGTTACTGTGACTTTCGGCTGGTACGGCAGGGTAATCGGCCTTCTTATAGGACGATCTTTTCCTCCGTCGGCCCTCAGGAAATAGCTGGAGCTACGAGAGAAGCTGCCGCCCTCCCGCAGTCTCCAGCAAGCTTCCTCTCGGTGGTCGCCCCTCCAGGGCGACTTTTGACCCACAAAGGGTCTACCGGCGAAGAAAAACCAGCCGGTGTGGAGAGAAGTCTCCAGACATGACCGGAGTCACCGCGAACTGGAACCGGAAGTCCATCCTCCCTATTTTTGGAGAAAGCTTATTTCCAGGCTTCCAAGAAAAGAGGAAAGAAAAGGAAATTCTTGCTATTTGGAGAAGAACAGGGATATATCTAACAATATCTCAATATAGTCAATCATATACTAATGGAGATCCTTGCCTTTAGATAAAGCGTTCCTTGGACTGTCCTGGAAATAATGAGGGATGTTGATCTAGTTTTTTGTTGTTTATTTGCCAGTTTCCCATTTTGGTCAACCTCCCACTGCCCAGCAGCTAGTCAGTTTCAGTTATACTCTATAGGATTTAGCTGGCTGCCCAGTGAGGGCAGGATCTGCCTCCTTTCTCTCTGGATATTTGTGACCTGTTGTGTTCCCATTGACCTGTTGTGTTTCACATTCTTTTGAACTTGTGAGATGGT